TTATGAAATGTAATTGTCTTTAAAAATATAAATGAATCCTCTGAAGTTTTTAAAATAAAGGAATTCTATGCTGAATTATTCATTAATTAGGTATTAATTTTAACACATAGAAATACATGCACACCTAATTTGTTTTGTAAATCTTATATCTGGATTCTTCTGCAGATGATACTCAATTTTTAAGTCAAATTTGAATCTTTTTATTGTAGTAAAACAAAACAAAACACTCAAATTTTTATCAAGTTTTAATGTATAGATAGCTCAGTGATATGAAAGACATTCACAATGTCATATAACTATCACATTATCTGTTTCTAAATTTTCCATCACCATTAACAGAAATTCAGTGCTCCTCAGCAAATGACTCCCCTACTTCCTTTTTCTCTCAGCCTTGGTAACCAGTAATTATTTCTAGTCTCTCTGTGTTCCTATTTCATGTAAGTAAGCTCATACAGTATTTTTCCTTTTGCAACTGCTTTATATTTATGTACAGTTCTTGAAAAATAAAATTGGGAAATATTATAATAATACTTTAATGTCTTGTTTTGCTACAATATTATTTGGGAATATTTTTTTCCTAAGGCAGACTTAACAAGCATTTTAAAAGACTCTCAGCAATACTTTCATTTATTCCTTCTACAAATATTAGATTGACTATTGTGTCCAAGATGTTATACCAGAAGCTAAGCATATGATAAATGAAACAGAGCCTTATTCTCAATAAGTTCACTGTGGAATGGAGAATAGACAAGAAAACAATCACTTAATGACAAATGTAGTATGTGTTGTGAGGACTTAAAAACTCGAACTCATTATCACCAGGTAGGATCTGACTGATAGCAAGCTCTACTGTGCTTCTGTGGCTGTATTTCAAAATGGGAGCAGACTGCTTATTGTTCTCTCATGGTATCACTGGCAGATTTAAACTGATGGAGCTGTAAGATCTTTGAGTTAGTACAACTCACTATGGATTTTGTCACCAGAGTGCCCCAGTGAGGGCATCAGGTACAAGTATCTAAGAAAGGTACCTAACTTAATCTTTGAGAGTCAAGAAAGTAGTTTTAAAGGATAATGGAAATTGATGGCCTAGTGGAAAGAATCTGTAATCCCAAAGGCACAAGGTTAGAATCCACCAGATGTTCCACTGGAGAAGGAGGGGCAATTTCTTCCTGTGCCTCTCGGATCTGATTCAACTGAACACGACAAGAAAACAAGAAAGGAAAAAAAGGGATAATAGGAAAATAGGGAAATAGGAAAAAGGATAATAGGGAAACATGATGCAGACAGATGAGGGACAGATACCCTTTCAAATATATTTTATGCACATATAATAGTCTGTTATTTCCATTGTTGTTGTTGCATACTGGTTGAATCAGAACCAACCTATAGCTGACCCTCCAGTGGGTATTCAGAGGCAGTTAACTGCACAGGAGGAGATTCCCCATCTTTCTCCCGCAGGGCAGCTGGTTTCAAATCACATGCCTTTGGGATTGCAGGGCAGCTGCTTACCACTAGGCCACCAGAACTCCATTTTGTCTCCATTAGAGGTAAGCATTAGCAAATTATAGTTTCTACTACTTTTTAAATGTAAAAATGTATTTAGGAGTACTTTCATACATGTGTACAAAAAGCATCTTCACTTTTTGACAGTGGCACATATCATAATGCTATCCTACAGTTATTCATTAGGGGCTCCAAAGGCATAATGTGTTACATGGTGCGAAAGGCTAAAGGTTCAAACCTATCAGCTGCTCCTTGGGAGATTAGCAGTCTCCTCCTTTAAAGATTCATGGCTGCAGAGACTGGATGGAGAGTCATTAAGAGTCTGAGTCAATATATGGTTACGTTAGGATATGGTTTAGTTTACTGATGGGAGTTCTGAGGTGTTTTTAACGTTTTGCTTTCTTTTCACAAGGTGGCAAGAAACAACATTGTATTTATTTTCTAATATAAGGACAGAGGTAGGATAAATTCCTAAAATGATTTGTGTATAGTAGTTTTTATTTTTATGTAGTTTAATTTACCTTTTCTTTTACGGCTTCTAAAGTTTTTGTCAAGAAAAAGGAGGTATTTTCATTCAGAGATTTTAAAAATTCAATGATTTCTCCTAAAAATGTTACAGTTTTGTTTCTTTCATATAATTATTTGATCATTTATAATTTACTTTGATGGGGTATTTATCCAATTTAATTTTTTCCCACAATAATTCCAGTTCTCCTAACATGTAAATAATTTTAATAACATGATCATTTACAGTAATGTTAAGTGGGACAACTAAGAAACAAGAGTATGTATTATCACACATTGAGAAAAAAAAAAAAAAGAGTATGTAAAAGACACTTTAAAGGAGTCACACACAGCTTTTGACCAAAGATAAATCTCTGGAGGCAAAAAAAGGGATAGAATTAATGGAAATGAGAATTACAGGGAGGAGATGGGAAAAGTCTGATTACACTGTGGGTATTATAAGGAATGTTTAAAGACAAAATGCGTATGAATGGTTGGATGAAAAACCAATCTGCTAGGTAATCTTTCACTCAAATCACAATTTAAAAAAGAAATAAAAATCCCTTTTGCAATTAAAAAAGCACACACACAAACATAGGTACAGCTTGGAAGGAAAAAATATTCATGAAATTTAAGACTTTTAGGGGGAGTTCTGCAACTACAATCCCAGAGGCACACGTTTCGAATCCACCAGATGCTCTGCCGGGAAAAGGAGGGACAATCTCCTCCTGTACCAGTCAGATCTGATTTGACAGTACACTCGCGCAAAAATAAAATAAAATAAATAAATAAAATCAAGAAAATAAAAAAAAGAAATTTAAGACTTTGAAACAATTTCAATGTACTTTTTTTCCTGTCAAAAGTTCTACAATGGGTCAGTTTTATAATTAGAAAGCTGTTACAAAAGAACATTATCATTCTTCAGGCAAAACATACCGTAGCTTTGAAAAGTTACAGAAAAGAAAAACCACCTACCTCATTTCTATAAGGTTTTACATATACCGTCCACTGATGAGTGTGTCCATCTTCCTCTCTTTTCTTTCCAAAGTAACGGGCAACATTACCATAAACTATTGCTTTAACAATAGTAACCCCCTAAGGGAAAAAGAATATTAAAAAAATAAATACTGTGCCACTACCCAAATTAACAGGATGAGAGTTCTGAAAATATTTTAAGGACTGAATTACCCAAGCAGTTTTAACAACCTAGAGCCTGCTTATCAAATAAAATCAGACATTCACTTCACATTAGCTAAAATAACTCCAGACTAATTATAATTTTCTGTTTTGAAGATGTCTTTTTAAATTACTTGTGTAAAGCACTTTGAGAGTTTTATAAAAAGCAGAACCAAAGGCCCCTTATTAATCTTAAATAAAGCTACGTTTCAGAATAAAAATTGCCAACGCTAACTGCCATTATCAAATGGTTATATCAGCAGTTATGGGCACTTTAGTAAATTATCTCCTTTAACCAGTCTACTGAATGTTTACCAAAACATGGTACAGATATCAAAGGCAGTCTGTCAGGAAATATTAGGAATAAAAGCAGGCAGGTTTTAATAGTTAAATAGTATTATGAATTAAACTGTGTCCCCTATAAAAGGTCATCATGCTTGAAAGGGTAGGATAATGCAAGAAAGACCCTGGATGGACTGACCCAGTGACTGGAGTAATAAGGGCAGGTGTGTTGGAGACACTGAGACTAGCTTATGAGAGGACACAGTTCAGAGCTATTTATTGTACATAGGATCACTAAGAGTTGTAGGCAACTCAACAGCACATAAGAACAACAAGAAAGTATGTAAATGTGATGATGTAATTATCCCCTATGATTTAATAAACCAAGTAGTTGCAAAAGGATAGATATGGCTGGGGTCCAAGAGCAATAATCCCATCACACCTTGAATAATGTTAAAAGGAATTTTCTTGGAACATGGTTTATACTACCTTTGTCTCAGGAGATGGAAAAGGAGATAGAAGGGAGGAACCTTAAAATCATCAAGAAAGAAGACCAGGAGTGCAGCATGTCCTTTAGACTTTGGTCTCTGTACTAGGAAATGCCACGACATATGGGAAGGCTGAGAGATGGAGATCTTGAAGGGAGGCCTGAAGATGTTGAAGGAAACATGGACTTTTCTCCGAAACTGAGAGCATCTTCCCCTACAGCTGGCATCCTGAATTTGGACTTCTAGGCTCCTAAACTGTAAGGGAGTCAACTCATCTGGTCTTCCAGCATTAGTGCTCAAGGTGTCAAATAAGATAGTTTTTAAATTCAGTTGGGATAGACTCAAGGTATAATCTGGTTCTTATGAACTTGTTGTAAACAACTGCATTTTACTTGGATCGACAATCAACACCAATAGTAGCAGAAGTCAAGAAATCAAAAGACCCTGCATTGGTCAATGACCTCTCCAAAGTGCAAATTGTGCACTTTGTGAATATGGGTCAAGGACCTCTCCAAAGAGCTAAAGAGCAATGATTTCTCGGATGGTCAATAGACACAGGAAAAAAAATGCTCAAAATCACTGGCAATAAAAGAGAAGCAAATCAAAACCATAATGAGATACCATATAAAAGAGAAGCAAATCAAAACCATAATGAGATACCATAGTAGCAGAGGCAAAGTTCAACAGGATCGAAAACAATAAATGCTGGAGAGAATGTGGAGAGATAAGAACTCTCATACACTGTTGGTGGGATTGTAAAATGGTACAACCACTCTGGAAGGCAGTTTGGCACTTCCTCAAGAACACAGAAATTGCAAATTACCCAATGCTAGGAATACACCCCAAGAAAATGATAACTGAGACACAAATGGAGATTTGTACATCAATGTTCATAGCAGCATTATTCACCACAGCAAGAACAAGGAAACAGCCCAAATGTCCAACCACAACTGAATGGACTGAGAAACTGTGGTACATTCATACAAAGGAATACTACGCAGCACTCAGGAGCAACAACTTCGAAAATTACTACATAAACTTGGGAAGGACTGGAGAGCATTATGCTGAGTGAACTAACTCAGTCTCATAAGGACAAATACTGCATAAGACTATTATTGTAGAAATAGAAAGATAACTAGTAAAACATGTATGAGGCTCCATGGTAGAGAGGGTCGGATCAGAGGAGTGAGGATGGGTGGGGGGAAATCATATAGTTGCACAATTTGGTGGGTGGAGGGAGAGGTGGTAAAACAAATGGGAAAGACCCAGCAGGGAATCCTGAAAAATAGGATAATGGTGGGCATAATTCATTGATTATGATTAATTCTATAAAATATAATGAATGGGAATGATTGTATGAAACACAATGTATACAAACTTTGTTAACAAACCAGTATAAAATAAACATTTATTAAAAAAGAGAAATGATGTAAATTTAAAGATTAATGTGCATCTGATCTAAGTCAAGGGTTTTTTTTTTTATGGTATTTCTAATTGCTTCACATGCATTTGAAAATTGGACAATGAATAAGGATGACAGGAGAATCTATGCCTCATTTTGTGGTGTTGGTGAAGAGTACTGAATATACTGTTACTGTTTGTTGTTGTGTACCAGAGTAGGAACTCATCCATGGCTGATTCTTCAGTGGGTTTTCAGTAGCAGTCTGCCCATCTTTCTCCAAAGGAGCAGTTGGTAGATTCAAAATGTACATTTGGGGAAGCAGAACTCCTTACCACTAAGTCTATCTTGAAGGAAGTACAACCAGAGTGTTCGTTAAGCGGCAAAGAAGGTGAAACTTCATTATTTTGGGCATAGTCTCAAGAAGAACCAAACCTTGGCGAAATCATGCTGGGAAAGAAAGGTGAAGGGTCAGAGAAAGAGGGGAAGAGGCTCAACAAGATGGACTAACTACCACAATGGGGCTTCAGCAGGGCAGAGATTAAGATCGTGTAGGATAGGGCAAAATTCAGATCTTTGTTCATAGGATCGCTGTGAACAAGTTAACTTCATGGCACCTAGTAACAACAGGCAGGTGATTATACCCGTAAGACCAAATCCTAAGGAAAAGCAAACAAACAGATACCATGGCAGAGATGGGAAAGGTCCCTCAGCAAGACAATGGTACACGGTGTGGAAGGTCAGGGGGTCGGGCCAACAGGCACTGGTCTTGGTCTCTCCCAGAGCAAGGAGGCAGCACGGGGCCAGGTGCGGCCCAGAAGGCCCAAGCCTTGATGTAGGCAGGCATTGGTCTCATTCTCCCTGGGCAAGGGAGTGGCATGAACTTCCTTCTAAGATGTCTGGATAGGAAGTTTATTAGGAAAGTTAATGGGCTATAATCCGGGTTGGCAGCAGGATATAGGATATAGTATCTCAGTCCAGACAACTTCTAAAGAGAGGTTACAGGCCCTCTGACCTTTAGCCTCACGGCTTAAGTCAGTGTTACTAAGTTCTCTTAGACTTGCCCCCCATGGTTCTTCCCTTAGTCCTCCAGCAAGCTTGAGAGCCTCTGGCTCTGATTCTTTGGAGCACATATTCAAGTCAGTTGTCTCAGGTTGGTTCCTGGTTCTCAGCTCAGGCTTCTAATTCTCTAGTGCAGATTTTGGTCTGATTAATGTAGGAATCTCTGGCTCCCAAGGACACACGCTGTTTCTTCTTCCTTGCTGTAGATTTTCTTTATGGTGGTTGATTTCAAGCTTCACTGAAGGTACTGACAGAAAAATAAGGTCCCAAGAATATAACTGATATGTCTCAACTAATAGAGGTAGCCCTAGATGTACTCACTAGTCTGTGTCAGGAAATCTGGAAGAAAGGTGATCCAACAAAATGTGGAAATTATAGAATAATATTATTATTTTTTTTATTGGGAAAAACATATTGGGGGTACAAAGAGGTGAGGGTTGGGGGCAGAAGGGTGAGGACAGACCAGGATGCAGTTGAAGAGCTGCACAGTTTGGTCGGTGGGGGAAGCAGGTAAAGGAAATGATGAGGGTCCAGTGAAGACTAGATGCTACAGACGAATGACAAGCATTTTCCAATGGTAATTAAACCAACTGTCTTATTGATTTGGGAACTGGATGCCAACTCCTCTGGCTTCTTCATGCTGAACAGGGGCAGAGATGTAAAGGGGGGAAGGGAGGATGCTTTATCACCTTACTGGTGGTCTTGGGTTAAAGCTGCTTGCCTTCTTGCTCTGTTAGAAGATATTTTCCTGTCATTTGCTCCCCTCTGGACTGCAAAGTGTTTTCCCAGGTGGGTCCAGTGGAGATGGCTGGTTGAATCCAGAGGCTCCATCCTCCTTTGCTTCCTTAGCTGTCAGTTGTATTTCCTTTTTGTCACTGACACCGAGTTCAGGGTCAATACTGGAGTAAAACTCAGTGTTAAGGTTACCTATAGGAAAGGGAGCAAACCTATAGAGAACTTGTGAGTTACAAATAGAAGGGCTTTGGAGGTGTTGCTTTCAGGTTTACTGTGGGGGAGGGTGGCAGAAGGTGGCCTAGGTAACATTCTCTGGATACCCTAGGCATTCTTTTTTTTTTCCCCCTTCCCCACCCAGGGGTCAGATGGCACAATCTGGGGACTGAGGAGCTCACCCTGAGGGCTGAGACAGCTCACCCCGAGCCGGGGGCTGAGGGCAGCCCGCCCCAGGCAGAAGGCCACGACGGCTCGCCCCGAGCCGGGGGCCGAGGGCAGCCCATCCCGAGCAGGGCAACATCTCCCAGGAGCTGGCTGGTATACTCCCCCTCCAACTGCCCCTACCCCAGTCTGGTCCCCTTGCCTGACTGAGGACTCTATGGTCAGGGATAGTGTTTCCAATTCCAGCACTGCCACTTTTACCCCCCCCCATAAGTGGTCATACTATATTTTGAAGTAGGTGTCACTGCCCTCTCCCTTTATATATGATAAAGGGAACCTGAGAATTGTGAACAGACTCCCCCGAGGTCTAACCATCTTTCGGCAGAAGCATTCAACAGAACAAAATATGTGGTGCATTTAGGATGTCGGTCCTCTTGTGCATGCTGCCACTGTTAAGGTCATCAGACTCACACGGACTTTCAGCAATCCATTCTATAGGTAATCGTCTTCTTTGGCCTGTCCAAGGAAACCCAAACCTGCAGATGGCAGGCATGCATCCCATCCCCCAACTCCTA